TCCTTTGCCATGGGGCTGCTCTCCATTGCCCCAGAGCTGCTCTCCTTTGCCATGGGGCTGCTCTCCTTTGCCATGGGGCTGCTCTCCTTTGCCATGGGGCTGCTCTCCTTTGCCATGGAGCTGCTCTCCTTTGCCATGGGGCTGCTCTCCTTTGCCCTGGGGCTGCTCTCCTTTACCCTTGCTGCTTCTGCCTTTGACACAATAGTGCTCACCACGGTTCTCACCTGATCCAGGGTTAACTCTCCGGCCTGGTACAGCTCCAGGAGCTCCTTCCTGTTCTCCTCAGGGATATACTTGGAGTGCAGCAGGTCCCACACCGAGACCTTGTGGCCCCGGTACTCTCCAACGTCCAAGTCAACGACTGTGGTTTTCAAGGCTGTTTCCCATGGTTCTTCTTTGGTGGAGCCATCCTCATCCTCTCCTGCTGCTGTCACGGTGTCCTTGTCCTTGACTGCAACGTGGAACTTCCTGCCTGTAGATTCCTTTTTCTTGACGAGCATGGTGACCACAGCCGTTAACTGCTCCAAGGGCAATGTCCTGACACGGTACAGCTCCAGCAGCTCCTGCCTTTTCTCCTCGGGGATGCAGCCAGAGAAGAGCAGGTCCCACACTGAGACCTGCTCCCCCTCGAAACCATCCTCTGACACCTCCACTGTGGTGCTCCTCAGGGTCTCTGCCCAGGCCCTGTCCTCCTGCAGCTCCGTGTGCTCTGCTCCTGCGAGCATCAACTCTGCCTTGGGGCTGCTCTCCTTTGCCCTGGGGCTGCTCTCCTTTGCCCTGGGGCTGCTCTCCTTTGCCTTGGGGCTGCTCTCCTTTGCCCTGGGGCTGCTCTCCTTTGCCTTGGGGCTGCTCTCCTTTGCCCCAGGGCTGCTCTCCTTTGCCTTGGGGCTGCTCTCCTGTGCCCTGGAGCTGCTCTCCTTTGCCATGGGGCTGCTCTCCTTTGCCCCGGAGCTGCTCTCCTTTACCCTTGCTGCTTCTGCCTTTGACACAATAGTGCTCACCACGGTTCTCACCTGATCAAGGGTTAACTCTCCGGCCTGGTACAGCTCCAGGAGCTCCTTCCTGTTCTCCTCAGGGATATACTTGGAGTGCAGCAGGTCCCACACCGAGACCTTGTGGCCCCGGTACTCTCCAACGTCCAAGTCAACGACTGTGGTTTTCAAGGCTGTTTCCCATGGTTCTTCTTTGGTGGAGCCATCCTCATCCTCTCCTGCTGCTGTCACGGTGTCCTTGTCCTTGACTGCAACGTGGAACTTCCTGCCTGTAGATTCCTTTTTCTTGACGAGCATGGTGACCACAGCCGTTAACTGCTCCAAGGGCAATGTCCCGGCACGGTACAGCTCCAGCAGCTCCTGCCTTTTCTCCTCGGGGATGCAGCCAGAGAAGAGCAGGTCCCACACTGAGACCTGCTCCCCCTCGAAACCATCCTCTGACACCTCCACTGTGGTGCTCCTCAGGGTCTCTGCCCAGGCCCTGTCCTCCTGCAGCTCAGTGTGCTCTGCTCCTGCAACCATCGACTCTGCCTTGGGGCTGCTCTCCTTTGCCATGGGGCTGCTCTCCTTTGCCTTGGGGCTGCTCTCCTTTGCCTTGGGGCTGCTCTCCTTTGCCCTGGGGCTGCTCTCCTTTGCCCTGGAGCTGCTCTCCTTTACCCTTGCTGCTTCTGCCTTTGACACAATAGTGCTCACCACGGTTCTCACCTGATCAAGGGTTAACTCTCCGGCCTGGTACAGCTCCAGGAGCTCCTTCCTGTTCTCCTCAGGGATATACTTGGAGTGCAGCAGGTCCCACACCGAGACCTTGTGGCCCCGGTACTCTCCAATGTCCAAGTCAACGACTGTGGTTTTCAAGGCTGTTTCCCATGGTTCTTCTTTGGTGGAGTCATCCTCATCCTCTCCTGCTGCTGTCACGGTGTCCTTGTCCTTGACTGCAACATGGAGCTTCCTGCCTGTAGACTCTTTTTTCTTGACGAGCATGGTGACCACAGCCGTTAACTGCTCCAAGGGCAATGTCCTGACACGGTACAGCTCCAGCAGCTCCTGCCTTTTCTCCTCGGGGATGCAGCCAGAGAAGAGCAGGTCCCACACTGAGACCTGCTCCCCCTCGAAACCATCCTCTGACACCTCCACTGTGGTGCTCCTCAGGGTCTCTGCCCAGGCCCTGTCCTCCTGCAGCTCCGTGTGCTCTGCTCCTGCGAGCGTCGACTCTGCCTTGGGGCTGCTCTCCTTTGCCTTGGGGCTGCTCTCCTTTGCCCTGGGGCTGCTCTCCTTTGCCCCGGAGCTGCTCTCCTTTGCCATGGGGCTGCTCTCCATTGCCCCAGAGCTGCTCTCCTTTGCCCTGGAGCTGCTCTCCTTTGCCTTGGGGCTGCTCTCCTTTGCCATGGAGCTGCTCTCCTTTGCCCCGGAGCTGCTCTCCTTTACCCTTGCTGCTTCTGCCTTTGACACAATAGTGCTCACCACGGTTCTCACCTGATCAAGGGTTAACTCTCCGGCCTGGTACAGCTCCAGGAGCTCCTTCCTGTTCTCCTCAGGGATATACTTGGAGTGCAGCAGGTCCCACACCGAGACCTTGTGGCCCCGGTACTCTCCAACGTCCAAGTCAACGACTGTGGTTTTCAAGGCTGTTTCCCATGGTTCTTCTTTGGTGGAGCCATCCTCATCCTCTCCTGCTGCTGTCACGGTGTCCTTGTCCTTGACTGCAACATGGAGCTTCCTGCCTGTAGACTCCTTTTTCTTGACGAGCATGGTGACCACAGCCGTTAACTGCTCCAAGGGCAATGTCCTGACACGGTACAGCTCCAGCAGCTCCTGCCTTTTCTCCTCGGGGATGCAGCCAGAGAAGAGCAGGTCCCACACTGAGACCTGCTCCCCCTCGAAACCATCCTCTGACACCTCCACTGTGGTGCTCCTCAGGGTCTCTGCCCAGGCCCTGTCCTCCTGCAGCTCCGTGTGCTCTGCTCCTGCGAGCATCGACTCTGCCTTGGGGCTGCTCTCCTTTGCCATGGGGCTGCTCTCCTTTGCCCTGGGGCTGCTCTCCTTTGCCCCAGAGCTGCTCTCCTTTGCCCTGGGGCTGCTCTCCATTGCCCTGGGGCTGCTCTCCTTTGCCCTGGAGCTGCTCTCCTTTGCCCTGGGGCTGCTCTCCTTTGCCATGGGGCTGCTCTCCTTTGCCCTGGGGCTGCTCTCCTTTGCCTTGGGGCTGCTCTCCTTTGCCCTGGGGCTGCTCTCCTTTGCCATGGGGCTGCTCTCCATTGCCCCAGAGCTGCTCTCCTTTGCCCCGGGGCTGCTCTCCTTTGCCCTGGAGCTGCTCTCCTTTGCCCTGGGGCTGCTCTCCTTTGCCCCGGAGCTGCTCTCCTTTGCCATGGGGCTGCTCTCCATTGCCCCAGAGCTGCTCTCCTTTGCCCTGGGGCTGCTCTCCTTTGCCTTGGGGCTGCTCTCCTTTGCTATGGAGCTGCTCTCCTTTGCCCCGGAGCTGCTCTCCTTTGCCATGGGGCTGCTCTCCATTGCCCCAGAGCTGCTCTCCTTTGCCCCAGAGCTGCTCTCCTTTGCCTTGGGGCTGCTCTCCTTTGCTATGGAGCTGCTCTCCTTTGCCCCGGAGCTGCTCTCCTTTACCCTTGCTGCTTCTGCCTTTGACACAATAGTGCTCACCACGGTTCTCACCTGATCAAGGGTTAACTCTCCGGCCTGGTACAGCTCCAGGAGCTCCTTCCTGTTCTCCTCAGGGATATACTTGGAGTGCAGCAGGTCCCACACCGAGACCTTGTGGCCCCGGTACTCTCCAACGTCCAAGTCAACGACTGTGGTTTTCAAGGCTGTTTCCCATGGTTCTTCTTTGGTGGAGCCATCCTCATCCTCTCCTGCTGCTGTCACGGTGTCCTTGTCCTTGACTGCAACATGGAGCTTCCTGCCTGTAGACTCCTTTTTCTTAATGACAGTGGTGACCACGGTTATCATCTGCTCCAGAGTTAGGAGCCTTTCATGGTACAGCTCCAGCAGCTCCTGCCTTTTCTCCTCGGGGATGTAGTCAGAGAAGAGCAGGTCCCACACAGGCACCTGCCTCCCCTGCGAGTCACCGGCTAGCACACCAATGGTGGTGGACTTCAAGGTGTTATCAAGTTGTGCATATTGTGTTGAAGAACCATCTCCATCCTCCTCTGCTTTTGTCTCTGCCCTGTGTGGACCTCTGGCACTGGCCCTGAGTGCGGCATTTGCAGCTGCAGTTCTGTTTATGATGGTGGTGACCACCATGGCCACTTGTTCGGTGGTCAGTATCCCTGCTCTGTACAGCTCCAGCAGCTCCTGCCGCCTCCCTTGAGGGATATGTCTGGAAAACAGCAGATCCAGCAAGGAAACCTTTTGCCCCTGGAATTCACCAGCAGTGACATGGATGGTTGCAGACTTCAGGGACTTTCTCAACTGCTGCTCCTGGGAATGCTTGTCCTGAACTGGTTGTGCTGGGTGTGATGCTCCCACCTTGGTGCTGGCCGTAACTGTGGGTGAGCTCCGATGGCCATTGTTCATTCCTGCCCCAGTGATGATGGTGGGGAGGAGGGTGCTCATCTCCGGGATGGTGACAGTCCCTGCCTTGTACTTCCTCAGGAGCTCCTCTCTCTGCTGCTCGGGCACGTAGCGGGAGAAGAGGAGCTCCCAGAGGGTGACGCTGTGTCCCTGGAAGAGCCCCACGCTGAGCGTGGTGCGGGCGGCCTGCAGGGCTTTCCGAGCATCCTTGCTGAGCTCATGGACCACAGAGCCCTTGTCCATCACGTGGAGCATCGGCAGCCCCGTGTCGGGGTCGGGCACGCAGCGGCGCAGGAGCTGTGTGTAAGTGAGGTTTTCATGGGTGTTGGGGTCAAAGCAACTTCTTATTTGGTTCTTGGGGTTAGAAAGGAACTGGCACATCTCCTGGTCGAAGTACCCGCGCTTGTGGGCCTCTTCCACCGGGATGCGGTGGCTGTGCACGGGGTCAATGATGCCACCGGTGGCGATCTGGGCCTCGAGCAGGCGGACAGCATGCTCCTTGACGATGAGCTCCTTCTGCATGGCCTGGAAGAGGGAGATGGGGTGGCCTGTGTACGGCTCCGTGTAGCCTGTGACGGCTCCCTCGGCCGACAGCAGCTTCTCGTAGAAGTCTCTGCCGATGAGTCCCGCCCTCAGCGCCTCTTCCACCGACAGCTTCTGGTTCCTCACGGGGTCGGTGAGGAGCCCTGAAGCAGCCTGTGCCTCCAGAAGCACCAGAGCTGTGCCAGGCGTCAGCAGCCCCCTTATCATGGCATCGTAGATACTCATCTTCTTACTCATGGCCTGGAGGAAGACTCCGGCTATGAAGTTACTCCCACCAACACCCATCTCTCTGTGTTCATCCTCAGCCACGTTACTTCCCATGTCAGTTGACCTATTGTTCTGAGAGGGTCCACTCATCTTGTGCGTTGTCTCTGGGGACAGTACAGCTAACACATGCACCGTGTTTGTCTGAGGAGAGAGAAGGAAATGTCTGGGTGAGACAGAGGTGCTGGGTCTCTGCTTGTTCTAAGGCCGTTGGCTTGTCAGAGCCTCCAGCCCCATCCTGTTACACCTCTCTGTCCACCAAAACTGGGGTCTACTGTGGTAGATGTGCTGGCACCAGTCCTGGCCCATGCTGTGCTCTGGACTGTGCATGGCACTGTCCCTGAGCAGGCTCATGGTGCCGGACACCACCCCAGGATCGTCCTCACCAGTTCCAGCAAGTGGGGACGAGGCAGAGTCACTGGGAGGGTTTGCCTGACCCAGCTCTCTCTCCAGATATCCGGGGAGCAGGAACAGGGTGTTTGGGATGCTCTGGCTGAGCCCTCTGGCACGTGGTGCTCACCCTGGGCTGCTGCCTGTGGCCACCACTGGTTGCCCTGCAGGGACCCAGCCCTCACGGGTTCGCTGGCACCGGGCCTGTGGCTTCACCACACTTTGCAGGTCAAGTGTTTCCCGGGCGCTCCTGTGCCGCGGGACAGGAGAAGTGGTCACTCTGCTATGAGCTAATTGCTATGTGGGTAAATGGGGGGTTAAATGAGATATATTGAAGTGAAGATCAGCAGACGGGTGCCTCAAAGAGCTTTGAGTGCTCTCTTCCACCCGGGCATGGGCTTTGCATGAGTGTGAGCAGCAGTGGTAAATCCTGTGGGCACCCTCACCCGTGGAAACGCAGCATCCCTCAACCACTGCCCCGGTTGCCTCTCTGAGATGTCCCAGGGGGAAGCAGCTCTGCCCTGGAGCAGCCACAGAGGAGCCACCCAGAGCCAGGCAAAGGTCTGTGGGGACAGAGTCTTCTTCCCACCCTGAGCCCTAAGCTACCAGGGAAGGATGGAGAGGGGAGGCAACATGGGAGATGTTCCCCAGTTTCTAAGTCCACCTTGGACTGTTTTCAGCTCAGGGGATTCCACTGAGCTGGACCTGGCCGTGCGTCCTCCTTGAGGGATGTCTCAGAGGCTGTCAGTCTCTTTGGAGCATGTCAACTTTCAGCATCTACAGCATTGCAGGGTGATGAGGCCAGCGCCTTGTGAGAACAGGCAAATCGAAACCCAAACCATTGCCTTGGGAACGCCCATCTCCCATAACCTGCAGTGAGTGACACTAATGACACGTTCAGCTCCTTATGAGGGTCACAGCTTTAGCTCTGCCTCTCCACCTGACTGGTCTGAAAGCCTCTGAGTCAGTGCTTCTGAGCCATTTAAATACTGGATTGATGCTGGTTGATCGCGATGGGCACCGGCTCATCCCAGCAGCTACAGACAAGCCCCAGCCTCTTTAGAGACCATGCCCATGACTCCAGACTCTCTATAGCCAGCAGCTCTGCTCCACCAGCCCAAGGGAGCAGCTCCTCTTCCCTTCCCTTCCCTTCCCTTCCCTGCCTGCCCCCCAGATGCAGCTGAGCCCTTCAGGAGCTGATGGGCTGGTGGCACTGGGATGGGACGAGCAGAGTGCTGTGTCACACCCCAGAGCAGGCAACACCTATGTAGGACATGGATGTCGTGTCAACACCCTATAGAGCAAAGACATTGCCCAACGGCGAGCTGTCATTAGCTGGTCTCTAATCAGACCCATGGTGCTGGGGCTTGGCTGCAGCTCCTGGGGCAGGACCTGGCTGTCCTTTCATGCTGCTGCAGCAGCCCAGCCCTAATGGAAGCGTTTTTCCGGCTGGAGGGAGCAGGGCTCCCGGCCCAGCCGCAGTCCCCATCCCCACTGCGTGCCGGTCAGGAACTGGTGCTGTCCCCCCAACGCAGTGCTCAGCGCTCAGCTCCAGCCCAGACCCACCAGGAGCCGGCATGTTCTGCCTCAGGAGCCTGCAGGCTCGGGCAGGTCCCTCAGCTCTGGCTGCTCCCCTTCCACATCCCCGTGTCCCATCGCTCAGCAGTGATGAGGAACAGCTCCACGCAGCCCCGGTGCCGCTCTGGCACTGCCCCTTCTCGGGAAGGACCGAGTCCTGCCTGGAGGCCTCCTGCTCACCAGACCACTGCTGAGCTGCCCTCGGAGCACTGGGGTCTGGGGAGGATGCAAGGTCCCTGCATTGCCTACAGGCCCCCATACCTGCAGGCAGGGTGCCATCCCAAAGCGGGCTCTGTGCGGCCCCGGTGCCCGCTCCAGGCTCTGTCCTACCTGCAGGACATGTACCCAGGGCAGCTGAACCCCAGCAGGCTCTGGTGCTTCTCCTCCTCCTCCTGCTGCTGCCTCCCAGCCAGGATGAGCAGCCCAGGCAAGAGCCCAATTTAAATCCTTCCCTTCCCCGCCCTTGGCGATGACAAGGTGACCCTGCCCTGTGCTCAGGTACGACTGACAGTCACACAACAGGCAGGACAGTGTCACAGCAGCGTCAGGAGCCTGGCAGGGGCGTAGGGGCTGGGGCTGGGGGACAGCGACCAGCCCTGGGTACATGGGGCATGGTCCTTACTGGGGCATGGTCCTTACTGGGGCATGGTCCTTACCGGGGCATGGTCCTTACTGGGCCTTGGTCCTTACTGGGGCATGGTCCTTACTGGGGCATGGTCCTTACTGGGGCATGGACCCTTATTGGGGCATGGACCTTACTGGGGCATGGTCCTTACTGGGGCATGGTCCTTACCGGGGCATGGTCCTTACTGGGGCATGGACCTTCCTTACTGGGTCATGGTCCTTACCGGGGCATGGTCCTTACTGGGGCATGGTCCTTACTGGGGCATGGACCTTCCTTACTGGGGCATGGTCCTTACCGGGGCATGGTCCTTACTGGGGCATGGTCCTTACTGGGGCATGGACCTTCCTTACTGGGGCATGGTCCTTACTGGGGCATGGTCCTTACTGGGGCATGGTCCTTACTGGGGCATGGTCCTTACTGGGGCATGGTCCTTACTGGGGCATGGACCTTCCTTACGGGGCATGGTCCTTACATGGTCCTTACTGGGCATGGACCTTCCTTACTGGGGCATGGTCCTTACTCCTTACTGGGGCATGGTCCTTACTGGGGCATGGTCCTTACTGGGGCATGGTCCTTACTGGGGCATGGACCTTCCTTACTGGGGCATGGTCCTTACTGGGGCATGGTCCTTACTGGAGCCTGGAACAGCAATGGCTGTGGAGAGAGCAGGCGCATGGTGGGGTCCTGGGCTCTGCCATCACCTTCTTCTGGCAGCTGCTCAGCACAGCTGCTTCTGGAGAGCCCTGCCTGTGGTTCGGCTGCCACGGAGCCCTCCATGGCCCTGGGCTGGTTCACTCTGCCCCTACGGAATCAACTGGGGTGTAAAAGACATTCAGGATCATCAAGCCCAGCCTTTACCCCAGCACTGCCAAGGCCACCACTGACCCATGCACTGAGGCCTCATCTCCATGGGGTGTGAACCCTTGCAGGGCCGGTGCCTGCAGCCCTGCCCTGGGCAGCCTGTTCCAATGCCTGAGCACCCTCTGGGGCAGGAATTGCTCCTCAGCTCCATCTAACCCTGCCCTGGTGCAGCTTGAGGCCGGTTCCTCTTATCCCATCCCTTGTTCCTTGGGAGCAGAGCCCAGCCCCTCCTGGCTCCATCCTCCTTGGAGGGAGTGATCAGGTCCCCCCTGAGCCTTCTCTCCTCCAGACTAAGTAACTGCAGCCGAGTTCCTTTGCTGGGGCGAGGAGCTGCAGCCGGGGCCCTGCAGCTGCCCCTGCTCTGCAGCCAGGACAGGGACTGAGCCTGTCCCTCGCTCTGGCTGTGCTCGTGACCATGGAGGTACCAGGGCTGTGGTGGCCGTGTTCATGGTGCGTGGGCTGGGTGGTCAGTGCTGCGGGGCGGCTGCCCCATCCCTGGCAGTGCTCGAGGCCAGGCTGGACACAGGGGCTTGGAGCACCCTGCTCCAGGGGAAGGGTCCCTGCCTGTAGCGAGGGCTGGAGCTGGAGGAGCTTTAAGGTCCCTTCGAACCCGAACTGTTCCATATTTCCATGACTGTATCACCTGTGCTGCTAGCAGAGGCCGGCTCAGCTCTGGCAGCTTTGGGCTGAGTGGAGCTCATCTTCAAGCATCACATTCAGCTCTGTGCTCATGTGGGATGTGCCAGAGCCCATCAGCCTGCGGCCACAGCTCCAATGAGCAGCACCCTTGTTCTGGTGCCTGCTTCCATAGCAGGACTGGGCTGGGGTGCTCTGGTGTGTCAGCACATACATGTGTGTGTGCTCGGCTGTCCACCCTGTCTATGGCCATGTGTGTTCATGACCATGTGTGTGCTCCCGTCAAGTGCACGCGTGTCCCTGCCTCTGCGTGTGCACAACTCTGTGCACGCATGACAGCACGTGTGCAAGGGACTCTGCCTGTGGGTGGCTCTGTGCACACGTGACAGCACGTGTGCAAGGGACTCTGCCTGTGGGTGGCTCTGTGTGTGCACAACTCTGTGCATGCATGACAGCACGTGTGCAAGGGACTCTGCCTGTGGGTGGCTCTGTGCACGCATGACAGCACGTGTGCAAGGGACTCTGCCTGTGGGTGGCTCTGTGTGTGCACAACTCTGTGCATGCATGACAGCACGTGTGCAAGGGACTCTGCCTGTGGGTGGCTCTGTGCACGCGTGACAGCACGTGTGCAAGGGACTCTGCCTGTGGGTGGCTCTGCGTGTGCACAACTCTGTGCACGCATGACAGCACGTGTGCAAGGGACTCTGCCTGTGGGTGGCTCTGTGTGTGCACAACCCTGTGCACGCGTGACAGCACGTGTGCAAGGGACCAGCTGCGCCTATGCTGGCGTGAGCTGTGCGTGTGCTGTGCGTGTGCACCCATGTGGGTGCGGGTGAGGGTGTCCTCATGCACAGGAGGCGCTGCCCCTGCCCGTCCTTGCTTTGGGTGCACATTCCTGCCTGCGTGGGCGCTGCCGGCCTGGCTGATCCGCACGCAGGTGTTTTCCCTCTGACTCACCCAGGCTGGTCTGGGGAACACACCCAGGCAGGAGGTCCCTGTTGGTGCTCACGGGACCCCCTGCTGTGGTCCTCAGTCCCCTGCAGCTCTGCCTGGCCTGACACCTCTCTGCAGGGCGCTATGGGGCACTTCCTAGTGGCAGCGCAATCCCAGCTCCACGGCTGCTCTGCCCTCGATGTCCGGCTCCTCCAGCTGGGCTCCGCTCTGGCTGCACCCATGCAGGGCTGCAGAGGGTGCCTGGGCCAGGCAGGAGGGTCCCGTGCCTCTGAGCGCCCAAAGGCATCGCTGAGCTGCCTAAACGAGCATCCACGCGGTGTTGCTCTGTGTGGGCTCACCAGCTCCTCACACAGGGACGCTCCTCCGAGCAATACCACTGACACTGACACTGGACCACAGCCTGGAGCTGGCCCTCTGAAGCGCTGGTGCCTGCCCCCAAAGGTGCATTAGGGTGCATGTGTCAAACCAAGGCTGTGCTTTCTCTCCAACAGTGATGTCTCGTCCTGAGATGGAGCTGGCCCAGCTCATTCAGACCCCTCTGAAGCACTGGTGCCTGCCCCCAAAGGTGCATTAGGGTGCATGTGTCAAACCAAGGCTGTGCTTTCTCTCCAACAGTGATGTCTCGTCCTGAGATGGAGCTGGCCCAGCTCGTTCAGACCCCTCTGAAGAGCTGGTGCCTGCCCCCAAAGGTGCATTAGGGTGCATGTGTCAAACCAAGGCTGTGCTTTCTCTCCAACAGTGATGTCTCGTCCTGAGATGGAACCAGCCCAGCTCATTCAGACCCCTCTGAAGCGCTGGTGCCTGCCCCCAAAGGTGCATTAGGGTGCATGTGTCAAACCAAGGCTGTGCTTTCTCTCCAACAGTGATGTCTCGTCCTGAGATGGAGCTGGCCCAGCTCGTTCAGACCCCTCTGAAGTGCTGGTGCCTGCCCCCAAAGGTGCATTAGGGTGCATGTGTCAAACCAAGGCTGTGCTTTCTCTCCAACAGTGATGTCTTGTCCTGAGATGGAACCAGCCCAGCTCATTCAGACCCCTCTGAAGCGCTGGTGCCTGCCCCCAAAGGTGCATTAGGGTGCATGTGTCAAACCACGGCTGTGCTTTCTCTCCAACAGTGATGTCTCATCCTGAGATGGAACCAGCCCAGCTCATTCAGACCCCTCTGAAGCGCTGGTGCCTGCCCCCAAAGGTGCATTAGGGTGCATGTGTCAAACCAAGGCTGTGCTTTCTCTCCAACAGTGATGTCTCGTCCTGAGATGGAACCAGCCCAGCTCGTTCAGACCCCTCTGAAGCGCTGGTGCCTGCCCCCAAAGGTGCATTAGGGTGCATGTGTCAAACCAAGGCTGTGCTTTCTCTCCAACAGTGATGTCTCGTCCTGAGATGGAGCTGCCCAGCTCGTTCAGACCCCTCTGAAGTGCTGGTGCCTGCCCCAAAGGTGCATTAGGGTGCATGTGTCAAACCAAGGCTGTGCTTTCTCTCCAACAGTGATGTCTTGTCCTGAGATGGAACCAGCCCAGCTCATTCAGACCCCTCTGAAGCGCTGGTGCCTGCCCCCAAAGGTGCATTAGGGTGCATGTGTCAAACCAAGGCTGTGCTTTCTCTCCAACAGTGATGTCTCGTCCTGAGATGGAGCTGGCCCAGCTCATTCAGACCCCTCTGAAGCGCTGGTGCCTGCCCCCAAAGGTGCATTAGGGTGCATGTGTCAAACCAAGGCTGTGCTTTCTCTCCAACAGTGATGTCTCGTCCTGAGATGGAACCAGCCCAGCTCGTGCAGACCCCTCTGAAGCGCTGGTGCCTGCCCCCAAAGGTGCATTAGGGTGCATGTGTCAAACCAAGGCTGTGCTTTCTCTCCAACAGTGATGTCTCGTCCTGAGATGGAACCAGCCCAGCTCGAGCAGACCCCTCTGAAGCGCTGGTGCCTGCCCCCAAAGGTGCATTAGGGTGCATGTGTCAAACCAAGGCTGTGCTTTCTCTCCAACAGTGATGTCTCGTCCTGAGATGGAGCTGGCCCAGCTCATTCAGACCCCTCTGAAGCGCTGGTGCCTGCCCCCAAAGGTGCATTAGGGTGCATGTGTCAAACCAAGGCTGTGCTTTCTCTCCAACAGTGATGTCTCATCCTGAGATGGAGCTGGCCCAGCTCATTCAGACCCCTCTGAAGCGCTGGTGCCTGCCCCCAAAGGTGCATTAGGGTGCATGTGTCAAACCAAGGCTGTGCTTTCTCTCCAACACTGATGTCTCATCCTGAGATGGAGCTGGCCCAGCTCGCTCAGACCCCTCTGAAGCGCTGGTGCCTGCCCCCAAAGGTGCATTAGGGTGCATGTGTCAAACCAAGGCTGTGCTTTCTCTCCAACACTGATGTCTCATCCTGAGCTGGAGCCCAGGTCCCGTTAGAGCCATGGAGAGGACACCAGGCTGCTCCCACAGCCCTAAGCAGGACTCCTCTGAGCACGTGCACATCCCTTCTGTAGGATGTGTACATGAAGCAGACACCGGGACCTCCTCTGCCTTGGCTGCCTGCTGCAGATGGGGTGACCCAAGCTGCACACAAGCATCTCCTGCGTGAATCAGCCCTGAAACCTCACCTCTTCCTTAGCGTGCAGGTCTCTGAGCTGCCCCTCCGGCCCCACCTGGCTTCAACAGAGCAGAACCATGCTGGTGCCTCCCCTTGACCCCACTCCTGATTGTCCCCTCTAGAGAACAAGGCTCCATCTTCCCAGTGAGGAGCGAGGAGTTAATCCTGCGCCTCCCTCCCTGCCTGCCTGTCTCTGGGGTGTGACAGATGGCAGGGGGTGGAGCTGCAAGAGCTTTAAGGTCTTTTCCAGCCCAAACCAGTCCACAGGTCTACGTGGTGCTGCACTTCAGGACCCCTACACGTGGTACTGTACGGGGCATTGCTGGGCACCCTGCTGCAGCCACGCAGTGCCCATACCCATGGGCCCTCAAGGCACTTGGGTATTAAAAGGGTACATCGTTAATTAAGAAGTAGATTAAAGCGTGAGTGCACCGTTGTTTGCACGTGTTTGTGCTGCCTCCACCCCTGAGTGCCCCTCGCTGCAGCCCTGCGAGAACAAAGCCATGGGGCAGACCCATCCGTGCCCCCATCCGCACTGTGCTCATCCTCACCAGCGGGTCCTGCAGCTCCCCTGGAACCGAGGCACAGGAGCTTTGGGATGTGCAGGGTTAGGGTTAGGGTTAGAGTTAGGGTTAGGGTTAGTGTTAGAGTTAGGGTTAGGGATAGGGTTAGGGTTAGGGTTAGGGTTAGGGTTAGGGATGCAGGGTTAGGGTTAGGGTTAGGGTTAGGTTTAGGGTTAGGGATGCACAGCCCGGGCAGTGCCTTGGTGCCCTTGTCTGAGGCAGCCCTGAACCCACCGGGGATGGGCGATGGATTTACAAGGGTGCTGCAGCAGGGGGGCATCCAGGGAAGCTGTTGCGGGCACCTTCTCGGTGGTGACGGCCCCTGCAGGCCCGCAGCTGAGCACAGGGACATGGGCTGCAGGTGCTGGAGGCGCTGGGATAACACAGAGCAGGAAACAGCCTCCTGTATGACATGGAGATGGCAGCCCCTGCGTGGCAGTGCTGTGAGGACACTGCTGTGAGGGCACACCCTGCACACAGCAGGACAATGGGAACTGGAGGAGTCAGAATCAGCTGGGTCGGAAGAGACCTTTAAGCTCATCCAGCCCAACCGCTCCCCAGCACTGCCAAGGCCACCACTGACCCATGGCACTGGGGCCTTGTCTCCATGGGGTGTGAACCCTTGCAGGGACAGTGCCTGCAGCCCTGCCCTGGGCAGCCTGTTCCAATGCCTGAGCACCCTCTGGGTCAGGAATTGGTCCTCAGCTCCATCTAACCCTGCCCTGGTGCAGCTTGAGGCCGGTTCCTCTTGTCCCATCCCTTGTTCCTTGGGAGCAGAGCCCAGGCCCCTCCTGGCTCCATCCTCCTGTCAGGCAGCAGTAGGGAGCAACCAGGACCCCCCTGAGCCTTCTCTTCTCCAGACTGAACCCCCCAGGTCCCTCAGCCCTTCCCCATCACCCCTGTGCTCCAGGCCCTGCTCCATCCCCATTCCCTTCTCCGGCCCCGCTCCATCCCCTCAATGTCTCTCTTTCAGTGAGGGCCCCAGAGCTGAGCACAGGACCCGAGGTGCAGCCCCATCAGTGCTCGGTGCAGGGGCACAATCCCTGCCCTGGCCCTGCTGCCGCACTGGGGCTGGTATGGGCAGGATGCGGTTGCCATGGATACAGGCCAGGATGCGGTTGCCACCTTGGCTGCCTGGGCCAGGAAATCACCCGCAGCCGCAGCCGGTTCCCGCTGCCCGGCGCACCCCGCTGTGTGCAGCTCCTGCACCAGCACTCCCAGTGGCAGCACGTCCCAGGCACGGAGCCGCAGTGTGTGGGTGCTCCTGGCACTGACTCGGGAGCTGGGAGCTTCCCATGGGTGCCTGCAGCTCCCGGCCGGCTGAGCGGTGCTGGTGAGGGCAGGAGTAACAAAACCACCCCCTTGCCGAAGGCGCAGGGAGCCAGGCAAGGCCAGGAGCAAGGGATGGGCAGGGGCAGGCAGCGGTGGGCAAACAGAGACAAAAATCCTCTTTATTCTGTCTTGGAGGGACGGGATTGTGCAACCCGGATCCCTGTGGGAAAGAAGCTCTCAAACAGCCTCTACCCTGACATGTGATTCCAGGGAAACTGGGAGCGGCAGGACCTGTACTGGTGCTTCAGGTCACTGGTCTGGGGGGGAGGGAGATGCGCCAGAGTGCTGAGGGTCAACCATGGCTCCAAGTGCTCTGCCTCTGGGGCCAGGGACCTGGTTTGTCCTTTGGCTTCCTGGGGACCTCCCTCAGCAGAACACCAGAAGGTTTCGTGTTTATGAGCACAGGGAGGGGGCTCTGCTCCGATGGAATGGGTACAGCTCCCTGCTCCCATGGGGCCAGGAGAGCCAGGATCCCAGTGGGAAGGGACCTTAAAGCTCAGCCCCTCTGAGTGCCAGCACAGCCCGTCTGCCTGCTGCACCCCTGCCCACATCCTCACCCACGGGTCCCCTACTCACCCCCAGCACTGGGGAAGATGCCACCACCCCACCAGCCTCATGGGCTGCGGCTCATGGTCCCACTCCAGCCCCTGGCGTGGAGCCCCTCACTTGTACCAGAGCCCCCCGGAGATGTTTCCTTGGGACATGGAGTGTGGGACCCTCCCAAGCCCAGAGAGCTGAGCTCCCCCCACCAGACCCTCTGTGGGGACCCTCATGGCTCCATCCATTGCAGCTGGAAAGCCCTGGTATGCTGTGGGTTCTTGATAGCCCATCAATTAGTGCCAGGCTTGTTTCTGGCTATCATCTTCATTAACACTAATGGCTCAGGTTTTATCTGTCTGTGTTTGCTTCTTCCATCCCCTTAACAACTTAACAGAAGAAATAAGCATCTCCTCACTCCAGCTATCCTGTCTGACTGGTGTGACTGGCCAGGTTGGTTCCCATCACCGAGTCATTTGTCAATCAGGTTTACTCCTGTGCTGGTTTTGGTGGCCTTTTGACCAAATACCTCAAAGAAGCGGGTATCCTCCTTCTACTGCCTTGCAACACCAAAGCCCCATGGACCACCAGTTCTGGGCCACCGCTGAGACCCACTCACAGCCCCATGAAGGATCTCGGTCTCATCTCTGGGTGTTCTGCGGTGCCTTTGGACAGACACAGCTTCTGTGTTTTGCCCTGATGTGGGCGCGTTCCCTCCCTAACCCTAACCCCTGGTTTATTCTGACCACTGCTGAGCACACATCAGGTAACCTGTGATAACTGAGCCGGGGAAGAGAAGGCTCCTGAAGGGGAGACCTCAGAGCAGCTCCAGTGCCTAAAGGGGCTGCAGGGAGCCTGGAGAGGGGCTTGGGACAAGGGCCTGTAGGGACAGGCCAAGGGGAATGGCTTGAACCTGCCCGAGGGGAGACTGAGCTGAGCTCTTAGGCAGAAGCTCTTCCCTGTGAGGGTGCTGAGGCGCTGGCACAGGGTGCCCAGAGAAGCTGTGGCTGCCCCATCCCTGGCAGTGCTCAAGGCCAGGTTGGACACAGGGGCTTGGAGCAAGCTGCTCCAGTGGAAGGGGTCCCTGCCCTGGCAGGGGTTGGAGCTGGAGGAGCTTTGAGGTCTCTTCCAACCCAAACCCGTCTGGGACTCTGACTTCTCTCCTGTTAGTTTCCTTGGGAGCCTGTGCAAGCCCCCGGGCTATGCACCAGTTATGGCAGGGGTTTCACGGCTGCTCCTGTTTCCAGCTCTCGGCTGTGCAAGCTGTGGTAGAAAAGGCCATTTTCCAGGACATTACTTGGTTAATTGAGGCGAATGGCCAGGGTCACGCGTTTAAGGGGAGGGAGCTTCCTTCTAATAGCAGCAGTAGAATTACTCAGCCCTGACCTCCACGGCAGAGTGGTTCTGGGGCTGCCTCTGCTCCAGGAGCGCAGCGCATGCACATGGACCAGGTGAGCTCAGAGCAAGGATCAGAGCCCAGCAGCCTGGAGCCCGGAGCAGAGCCCTAGAGAGGCTCCATGGAGGAGTGGAGGGGATAAAGCACCGCCTGTGAGTGCACTGAGGGTAGATACCCCTGAGGGACCAAATACTCTGAGGGGAGGCTGCTTCTAGACCAGACACCACTGGAAAACTGCTCAGAGGGAGAGATTAAGGGTAAGCGAAGGTACTGTGTCCCATCCCAGTGCCACCTAACACCGGCCTGGGAAGGGCCTGCATGGAAACCTGATTTCCAGGCACCATCTAAGCTTGGAAACCTCCAACACCGACAACGCCCTGCAAATACACTAGGGATAATGTTCTTCATGCATAAAAAAAGAGAATAGAAGGAGGATAAAACCCCCATTCACACTACAGCAAACACAGCACGGATGAGGGAAACGAGGGCACCGTATGTCATCACAGTGACCTGGGATAACCCAAGCTGGTCCCTGTGCTCTCAAAGATGGGAGAAGGCAAAGGCTTAGCTCTGGTACCACTGAGCTTAGGGAGGACATAGGAAAGCTCTGCCTGATGAGAGTAGGGTATTGGAAAGAAAAGCAAACACAATAGAGACCCTTTAAATGGAAATCGAAGTTTATAAAACAGGGTATAAAAAGACAGAAAACTGAACCCAAACCATAAACATGAAAGCACAGGTCAGCAATGAAACAGGGCAAAATCGAAAAGGTTGGACACCTACATTCGAGAAATATTGAGAAAATAAAGACCTGTGTCCGGGTCGGGCACGCAGCGGCGCAGGAGCTGCATGTAGGTGAGGTTCTCCTCCGTGTTGGGGTCGAAGAAGCCCTTGGTGTCGTCGCTGGGGTCCGACAGGATCTGGTTCATCTCCTGGTCGAAGTACCCGCGCTGGTAGGCCACCTCCACGGGCAGGCGGTGGCTGTGCACAGGGTCAATGATGCCGCCGGTGGCGATCTGGGCCTCGAGCAGGCGGATGCCGTGCTCCTTGACGATGAGCTCCTTCCGCATGGCCTGGAAGAGGGAGATCTGCTCCCCGCTGTAGGGGTCGGTGTAGCCCGTCACGGCGCGCTCGGCCGACAGCAGCTTCTCGTGCAGCTCGGGCCCCACCAGCCCCGAGGAGACGGCCTCGTCCACGGAGAGCTTCCTGTTGGCCAGCGGGTCCACCAGGAAGCCGGTGGCAGCCTGCGCCTCCAGCAGCACCAGGGCCGTGCCCTGCCGCAGGATGCCCTTCCACATGGCCTGGTAGATGCTCATCTTCTCCAGCTTGCCGGGCTCGCCCTTGCAGGGCACCAGCACGCCGGCGATGCAGCCCGTGCCGTCCAGGTAGCGCTTGACCGAGGCCATTTCCGTCACCTCGGCCACTGTCCGGGCGCCCTGCACCAGGTCGGCCAGCGTGTCCTTGTCGATGATGCCCGAGTCCGCCAGGTCCGAGGCGCTCACCTGCCTCCTGAGGCCCCTGAACTTCACCGCGCTGCTGCGCTCCTGCGCCTCCTGCACCAGGGCCGTCAGCAGCGCTGCCAGCTCGTCCAGCGCCAGGCTCCCGGCGCGCAGCAGCCCCAGCAGCTCCTGCCTCTTGGCCTCCCTCACGTACCTGGAGAAGAGGAGCTCCCACAGGGACACCTTCCTGCCAAGGAAGCTGCTGCCCGGGACCTCGATGCTGCGGGACCGCAGGGACCGCTCCAGCTCCTGCTCCCGTTCCCGCTCTCGCTCCTGCTCCTGCTCCCGCTCCTGCTTCTGCTGCATCTCCAGCTCCCGCTCCTGCTCTCGCTCCCGCTCCCGCTCCAGCTCCTGCTTCTGCTGCATCTCCAGCTCCCGCTCCTGCTCCCGCTCCCGTTCCCGCTCCAGCTCCTGCTTCTGCTGCATCTCCAGCTCCCGCTCCTGCTCTCGCTCCTGCTTCTGCTGCATCTCCAGCTCCCGCTTCTGCTGCATCTCCAGCTCCCGCTCCCGCTCGTGCCGGGAGCTCACGGTCTCACCGTTCTGGGCTCGAACCAGCGCCGGGGCCGCCCGCTGCTCAGCCCCAGTGATGATGGTGGTGAGGAGGGCGCTCATCTCCGAGATGGTGACAGTCCCCGCCTTGTAGCGGCGCAGCAGGTCCTGGCGCCGGAGCTCGGGCACGTAGCGGGAGAAGAGGAGCTCCCAGAGGGTGACGCTCTGTCCCTGGAAGAGCCCCACGCTGAGCGTGGTGCGGGCGGCCTGCAGGGCTTGGCGGGCCTCCTCGCTCAGCTGGTGGAGCACGGAGCCCTTGTCCATGAGCTGCAGCATCAGCAGCCCCGTGTGCGGGTCGGGCACGCAGCGGCGCAGGAGCTGCATGTAGGTGAGGTTCTCGTGGGTGTTGGGGTCGAAGAAGCCCTTGGTGTCGTCGCTGGGGTCCGACAGGATCTGGTTCATCTCCTGGTCGAAGTACCCGCGCTGGTAGGCCACCTCCACGGGCAGGCGGTGGCTGTGCACGGGGTCGATGATGCCGCCGGTGGCGATCTGGGCCTCGAGCAGGCGGATGCCGTGCTCCTTGACGATGAGCTCCTTCCGCATGGCCTGGAAGAGGGAGATCTGCTCCCCGCTGTAGGGGTCGGTGTAGCCCGTCACGGCGCGCTCGGCCGACAGCAGCTTCTCGTGCAGCTCGGGCCCCACCAGCCCCGAGGAGACGGCCTCGTCCACGGAGAGCTTCCTGTTGGCCAGCGGGTCCACCAGGAAGCCGGTGGCAGCCTGCGCCTCCAGCAGCACCAGGGCCGTGCCCTGCCGCAGGATGCCCTTCCACATGGCCTGGTAGATGCTCATCTTCTCCAGCTTGCCGGGCTCGCCCTTGCAGGGCACCAGCACGCCGGCGATGCAGCCCGTGCCGTCCAGGTAGCGCTTGACCGAGGCCATTTCCGTCACCTCGGCCACTGTCCGGGCGCCCTGCACCAGGTCGGCCAGCGTGTCCTTGTCGATGATGCCCGAGTCCGCCAGGTCCGAGGCGCTCACCTGCCTCCTGAGGCCCCTGAACTTCACCGCGCTGCTGCGCTCCTGCGCCTCCTGCACCAGGGCCGTCAGCAGCGCTGCCAGCTCGTCCAGCGCCAGGCTCCCGGCGCGCAGCAGCCCCAGCAGCTCCTGCCTCTTGGCCTCCCTCACGTACCTGGAGAAGAGGAGCTCCCACAGGGACACCTTCCTGCCAAGGAAGCTGCTGCCCGGGACCTCGATGCTGCGGGACCGCAGGGACCGCTCCAGCTCCTGCTCCCGCTCCCGCTCCAGCTCCTGCTGCAGCTCCTGCTCCTGCTGCAGCTCCTGCTCCTGCTCCCGCTCCCGTTCCCCCTCCAGCTCCTGCTTCTGCTGCATCTCCAGCTCCCGCTCCTGCTCTCGCTCCCGCTCCCGCTCCCGTTCCCGCTCCTGCTTCTGCTGCATCTCCAGCTCCCGCTCCCGCTCCTGCTCCTGCTCCCGCTCCCGCTCTCGCTCCTGCTCCTGCTGCATCTCCAGCTCCCGCTCCTGCTGCATCTCCAGCTCCCGCTCCTGCTCTCGCTCCTGCTTCTGCTGCATCTCCAGCTCCCGCTCCTGCTGCATCTCCAGCTCCCGCTCCCGCTCGTGCCGGGAGCTCACGGTCTCGCCGTTCTGGGCTCGAACCGGCGCCGGGGCCGCCCGCTGCTCAGCCCCAGTGATGATGGTGGTGAGGAGGGCGCTCATCTCCGAGATGGTGACAGTCCCCGCCTTGTAGCGGCGCAGCAGGTCCTGGCGCCGGAGCTCGGGCACGTAGCGGGAGAAGAGGAGCTCCCAGAGGGTGACGCTCTGTCCCTGGAAGAGCCCCACGCTGAGCGTGGTGCGGGCGGCCTGCAGGGCTTGGCGGGCCTCCTCGCTCAGCTGGTGGAGCACGGAGCCCTTGTCCATGAGCTGCAGCATCAGCAGCCCCGTGTGCGGGTCGGGCACGCAGCGGCGCAGGAGCTGCATGTAGGTGAGGTTCTCGTGGGTGTTGGGGTCGAAGAAGCCCTTGGTGTCGTCGCTGGGGTCCGACAGGATCTGGTTCATCTCCTGGTCGAAGTACCCGCGCTGGTAGGCCACCTCCACGGGCAGGCGGTGGCTGTGCACGGGGTCGATGATGCCGCCGGTGGCGATCTGGGCCTCGAGCAGGCGGATGCCGTGCTCCTTGACGATGAGCTCCTTCCGCATGGCCTGGAAGAGGGAGATCTTTTGTCCCGTGCAGGGGTCGGTGTAGCCCGTCACTGATCTCTCTGCAGAGAGAAGTTTCTTCTGGAGTTCACTTCCTACGAGCCCCGAGGAGACAGCTTCATCCACAGAGAGCTTCTTGTTAGCCACTGGGTCAATGATGAATCCGGTGGCAGCCTGCGCCTCCAGCAGCACCAGGGCCGTGCCCTGCCGCAGGATGCCCTTCCACATGGCCTGGTAGATGCTCATCTTCTCCAGCTTGCCGGGCTCAGCTTTGGAGGGCACCAGGATGCCAGCAATGCTTCCCGTTCCTTCCAGGTATCTTCTCACGCTGTCCATCTGAGATATTCCTTCTGCCGTCTCTCTTCCTTTGTGGAGTTTTTCCATCGTTTCTTTTGTAATTATCTGGGCACTGAGAAGTTCTGTTGCTGTGATCTGTTGTCTGATTCCTTGGAACCATACATCACTTCTGCCTTCTTCTTTCTCTTTAATGATGTTCAGTATTGTTTCAATGATTCCTTGGATAATGTGATGTGATTCCTCTTTGTACTTTTTCACCAGTTCTTTTCTCTTCTCCTCTGTGATGTACTCAGAGCAGAGAAGTTCCCACAGTGATAGTACCTGTCCTTTGTATTTTCCAACAGGCACTTGCACCTTTGTAGACATCAGGGCTGCTTTTGTTTGCTCGTCGATATAGAAATAGTCATCATCCTTCTCCATGACCTGCAGCAGGTACCAGCCCGTTTCCCTGTCTTTGGAACATCTCTGCAGGAGCTGGCTGTAGCTGATCTTCTCGTGAGTGTTTGGATCTATAAAACCTTTGCTGCCATGGTCAGGATCAGACAGCATGAGGAACATGTCATCATCCAAGTGTCCGCGCCGGTAGGCCACCTCCAGGGGCAGGCGGTGGCTGTGCTCGGGGTCGATGATGCCGCCAGTGGCGATCTGGGCCTCGAGCAGGCGGATGCCGTGCTCCTTGACTGTTACCTTCTGCTTTATGGCCTGAAAGAGGGACATCTTCTTCCCTGTTTGAGGATCTGTGTATCCGGTCACCGCTTTCTCTGCGGACAGGAGCTGCCTCTGGAAGTTGCTCCCCACCAGTCCAGACGAGATGGCCTCGTCCACGGAGAGCTTCTCATTTTTCAGTGGGTCAATGAGGAAACCAGTGGCAGCCTGTGCCTCTAGCAGCCCCAGAGCACACTGCTCTGTGAGAAGGCCCTTCTCCAGGGCCTGGTAGATGCTCATCTTCTCTTTCCTTGATGGGAGTAGAACCCCGGCAATGCATCCAGTGCCCTCTAAGTACCTCTTGACGGTGTCCCTCTTGGTGAGGCTGGCCAGCGGGAGGCTTCCATCCTGGAGCTGCTCTAGGGTTTTCTTGTCAATGATCTCAGAGTTAAACAATTCTGATACTGACACATCCCCCCGGAGTCCTTTCACCTTGAGGGCTCCTGCTCTCTGCTCTGTGTCCTCAATGATTCTGAAGAGGAGGGCTGTAAGGCCTGCCAGGGTTAGGGTTTTGCACTTGTACTGCATCACCAGTTCTTTCCTTTTCTGCTCGGAGATGTAATGAGAGCAGAGAATTTCCCAGATGGAAACTGTCTGGTCCTTAAACTTCCCAACTTTGATGTTTAGAGGCTTGGAGCGCAAATCCTGCTTTGTAAACTCATCAATGTAGAAGTACCTGCCTCCCTCCTGTACAACCTGCAGCATGTACAGCCCCGTCTCTGAATCCTGGACACATCTCTCCAGGAGCTGCATGTAGGTGAGGTTCTCGTGGGTGTTGGGGTCGAAGAAGCCCTTGGTGTCGTCGCTGGGGTCCGACAGGATCTGGTTCATCTCCTGGTCGAAGTACCCGCGCTGGTAGGCCACCTCCACTGGGATGCGGTGGCTGTGCACGGGGTCGATGATGCCGCCGGTGGCGATCTGGGCCTCGAGCAGGCGGATGCCGTGGCTCTTCACGATCAGTCCTTGGTTCATGGCTTCAAACAAGGACATTGGGGCTTTCGTGTAGGGATCGGTGTAGCCCGTCACGGCCCGCTCTGCACAGAGCAGCTTCTCAAACACCTCCCCTCCAATTAGACCTGCAGCTAATGCTTCCTCCACTGAGCACTTCTGGTTCTTCTCTGGGTCAATGATGTAGCCGGTGGCAGCCTGTGCCTCCAGCAGCACCAGCGCTGTCCCTGGCCTCAGGATGCCCTTCCTCATGGCCTGGTAGATGCTCATCTTCACATTGCTTGGCTGTATGAGGACCCCCGCTATGAAATTGCTGCCCTCCAGGTACCTGCGGACAGAGTCCATTTCAGTGACTTCTTTGACTGTTTTCTTCCCCTGGTTGAGCTCATCGAGGGTTTTCTTGTCTATCAGTTGGGACTGGAAGAGGTCACTGGCAGAAACTCTTTTCCGCAGGCCCTGGAAAGCAAACTTCTTTCCTTGTGTCTCTGTCTCTTTGATGATTGTGGTGACGATTGCTATGATTTCATGCAGCACTTCAGTGTTCTCCTCTTTGTACCTTTGCACCAGCTCTCTTCTCCTGCTGTCTGAGAGGTATTCGGAGTTGAGGAGGTCCCAGACTGACACTGTCTGTCCTTTGAAGCGCCCTATGTTGACACAGACAGTCACAGATTTCAGCACCTCCATGGTCTGCTCATCCACACAGAACATCGCGTTTTCGGACAGGGGAAGAAGCCAGAGACCTGACTCAGGCTCCTGAAAGCATCTGTCCTTCAGCTGCTGGTAGGTCACGTTCTCCTTTGTGTTTGGATCAAAGAAGAGTTGGGTTCTGTCATCCAGCTGGGACAGGGTTTGGTGGAGGTCCTCATCGTAGAAGCCGTACCTGTACGCGGCCTGGAGTGGAAGGTGGAGGTGGTGAATGGGATCAATGACCCCGCCAGTGGCCAGCTGGGCCTCCAGCAAGGGAACAGCCTCTCCCAGAGGAATCAGCTCCTTCCTGAGCGCTTGGCATAGGGAGATGGAGTTTCCGGTGTAGGGGTCCGTGTACCCGGTCACTGCCCGCTCGGCCAGCAGGAGCTTCTCAGTGAGCTCTTCACCCACTAGAGCAGCTCTCACTGCGTCCCTCACACTGAGTCTCTGGTTTGTTGCTGGGTCACTCAGGTACCCTGTGGCCGCCTGAGCTTCCAGCAGCCTCAGAGCAGCCCCAGGGAGGAGGAGGTGGTTCTTCATGGCATCGTAGAAGCTCATCTTCTTTCGGGATGCCTCTATGAATACCCCAGCAATGCTGCCTGTGCCCTGCAGGTACCTCCTCACACTCTCCATCGCAGCCACCTCCTCAGGAGTTCGTACGCCCTGGGCCAGTTCTTCAAATGTCTGCTTCGTGATGATGCCAGCGTCCAGCAGCCACACTGCAGGGACGCTGCCCCGCAGGCCCTCCAGGGTGAGCTGGGTGCGGGCTTTCATCTCCATCTCCCCAACCAAGCTGAGCACAAGAGCAACCAGCTCCTGCAGTGACGCTTCCTCGGACCGGAACCTCTCCACAAAGTCCCTCCTCCTCTGCTCCTCAGTGAAATACCCGGAGTGGATTAGTTCCCACAGGGAGACCCCTCTCTCCTCCACCACGGTCTCCTCAAAGATCCGCTGGATTTCTTCGTCGCTGCGGGCAGGAGCAGCCGCCTGTGGCACGGGCAACAAGTGGAAGCCGGAGACCTCGTCCTTCTGGCAGCGCTCGATCAGCTCTGCATAGCTCACGGTCTCTTTGCTGTCTGGGACACAGAAGGCTCTGTTGGCATCACTGGGCTTAGAAAGGGCCTTGCTCGTGTCCTCATCCAGGCACCCCCGCTTCTGGGCAGAGTCTATGGGGATATAGTGGCCACAAGTTGGGTCAATGATGCCTCCGGTAGCCATCTGCACCTCCATCAACTGCATGGCCTGTTTGTCCGTGATCAGGCCCTTCTTCATTGCCTGGAAGAGGGGTATCTTCTTGCCTGTGAAAGGATCCTTATAGCCTGTGACAGCCCCTTCTGCATGCTGCAGCTTCTCATGGACTTCTGGTCCAATGACTCCCTTCTTGACGGCATCGTCCACACAGAGCTTCTGGTTGTTAACTGGGTCGATGATGAAGCCTGTGGCAGCCTGGGCCTCCAGCAACGGGAGGGCCATTCCAGGCAGCATGATGTTTTGCTTCATGGCCTCATAAATGCTTATCCTCTGATTTGACGGCTGGAGAACGATCCCCCCGATGCTGCCAGAGCCGTAGAGGTACTTTCTGACAGAGTCCATGTGCAGGACTTCCTCCGGCGTGACGGCTCCCTCCAGCACCCTCTCAAACAGGGCCCTGTCAATGACACCCGTCTCCATCAGGTGGTAGGCGCTGACACTGCCCCTCATGGCTGGGAACTTGATGGGCGCCCATCTTTTCATTTCCTCCTCCAGCATGGCTCGGATGCGCTCCAGGCTGAGCTTCCGCAGCTGGTAGTGGTTGAATATCTCCCGGCGCTTCCCCTCGCTGAAGTACTCAGAGTTGAGCAGGTCCCACACAGAGACCTTCTCTCCCCGCAGCCTCCCAAACCTGACCCGCAGCCCGGAGCTCTGGAACACCCGCCTGGTGGCTTCATCCACAAACTGCCGCTTTCTGCTGTTCAGGGGCAGGAGGCAGAGCCCGGTGGAGGGCTCAGTGATGCACTTCTCCTTCAGCTGCAGGTAGGTGAGGTTCTCGTGGGTGTTGGGGTCAAAGAAGCCCTTGGTGTCGTCGCTGGGGTCCGAGAGGATCAAGTTCATCTTCTTGTCAAAGTACCCGCGCTTGTAGGCCACCTCCACGGGGATGCGGTGGCTGTTGACAGGGTCGATGATGCCTCCGGTGGCGATCTGGGCCTCCAGCAGGCGGATGCCGTGCTCCCTGACGATGAGCTCCTTCTGCATGGCCTGGAAGAGGGAGATGGTGCTCCCTGAGTAAGGGTCTCTGTAGCCAGTGACCGATTTCTCTGCAGCCAGAAGCTTGTCGTAGACATCAGGGCCAATGACACCTGCTCGCAAGGCCTCCTCCACAGAATACCTTCTGTTGGCAGCCGGGTCAATGATGAACCCGGTGGCAGCCTGGGCCTCCAGGAGGATCAGGGACGTTCCTGGCCTTAGAAGTCCCTTCCGCTTTGCCTGGTAGATGCTGATCTTGTCCTGGGAGTCAGGAAGCAGCAGTCCACCAATGCTACCTGTCCCTTGCAGGTACTTCTTGACCGTGTCCATGCTGACCACTTCTTTGGCCGACGTTTCTCCCTCCTTCAGTTTCTTGAACAAATCTCTGTTGATGATTTCAGAGCTCAGGAGCTGGTCAGCTGTCACCCGGTCCCTCAGTCCTTCGAAGGTGACGTTAGCAGGGGAAGCCATCTCCTCGATGGTGGCACTGACTGCCTTACTCAGCTCTTGCATGGAGAGGGCTCCTGCCAGGTACTGCTGGGATAGAGCAGCTCTTTGCTCGCTCTGGATGCAGTCTGAGAAGAGAAGTTTCCAGAGGGACACGGACCTTCCCTTGAATTTGCCCAAAGCCACAGGTACCCCTGTGTTTTCCAGAGCTGTCTGGGTCTTGTGGTCAAAGAAGAGGTGGGTTCCCTTGAGCCCCTCTCTGCTGTCTCCTCCAAGGGGCAGCAGCAGGAGCCCAGTGCTGGGATCAGTCACACAGCGCTGGAGCAGGTCTGCGTAGGTCAACTTCTCCTTGGAGCTGGGGTCCAAGAACCCTTTCATGTCACTGGTAGGAGTGGAGAGGAGCTGTCTCGTGGCCTCGTCCAGGTACCCCCACTTGCAGGCTGTCTCTGCGGGGACACGGAGGTGTTTTCCTGGAGCAATCACCCCACCAGTGGCTACCTGAGCCTCCAGAAGGCAGAGGCCGTGATCCTTGGAGACAAAGCCCTTCCTGATGGCTTGGAACAGAGAGAGCATCTCTCCAGTGCAGGGGTCCCTGTACCCTGTGATGCTCTTCTCAGCTGAAGACAGTTTCTCATGAAGCTCTGGGCCAATGAGACCAACTCTAACAGCCTCATCCACTGAATAGCTTTTGTTCTTGATGGGGTCCGTCAGGCTGCCGGTGGAGGCCTGCACCTGCAGGAGCAGCAGGGCAGTGCCAGGCATGAGGAGATGCTCCCTCAGGGCCTGGTAGATGCTCTTCTGCTCACCGGAAGGCAAGGCAATGCCTGCCACGGTCCTCGTCCCACGCAGGAACCGCTGAACTGAGTCACTCTCGGCAACCTCCTGGGCAGAGACCCTGCCCTCCTCGAGACCTCGGAACGTGTCCGAGCTGATGATGCCCGAGTCCAGCAGGTCCCTGCTGCTCACCCGCCCTCCCAGCCCCGGGAACGTCGTCTGCAGGGGCAAGAGGAGGAAGCCTGAGCCTGGTTCAGTGACACAGCGCTTGATAAGCTCCATGTAGGTGACCCTCTCCATCGTACTGGGGTTGAGGAACCTTTTGCCATCCTCATTGCTTGGATCGGAGAGGAGCTGGCTCATCTCTTCATCTAAATACCCCCTCTCACAGGCCACATCCGCTGGGAGCCGGTGGCCGGTGCTGGGGTCAATGATGCCACCGGTCGCGATCTGGGCCTGGAGCAGGCGGATGCCTTGGTCCCTCCCCACCAGCTCCTTCTGCATGGCCTGGAACAGGGGAATCTTCTCTTCCGTGTAGGGGTCCACGAAACCGGTGGCAGCTTTCTCTGCAGCGAGCAGCTTGTCCTTCAGCTCCAGCCCCACCAGCCCTGCCTGCACAGCTTCCACCACAGGCACCCGCCTGCTCTTCACCGGGTCAGCCAGGGCGCCCGTGGCTGCCTGGGCCTCGAGGAGCCAAAGCGCCGACTCCAGACTCAGGAGGTGCTCCCTGGTGGCATCATAGAAACCCATCATCTGCTTGGAAGCCTCCACGTACACCCCAGCAATGCTGCCAGCTGCTGCCAGGGCCTTGCTGGGACCCTCCTTCCCCGTCATTCTGCTCTCCTTGCGGGCCAGCACGTCCTGGCACCAGTGCTTTGCTCCTGGGGTGGCTTCCTGGGGAGACACAGGGGCAGCGTGGCCGTTCAGTGCAGGCTCGCTCTCCATCCTCCCGCTGCTCTGCTCCCACTGCTGTCACGACTCTGCAGAGGGGAGGGAATGGGAAAGCTCAGTGAGGAATCACCTTTGCCATGGGTTCATCCTAAATACAGCATGGGGAAAAGCAGCAGCAATTCCCCTCAGTCAGAAGTGAGAGCCAGGGGCTGAGCATGCCCAGGGCCTGAACCCCCCACCTGGAGTCCTGCATCCAGCTCTGGAGTCCTCACCACAGGAAAGACATGGACCTGTTGAAGAGAGTCCAGACAAGGGTCACAGAAATGATGCGAGGGCTGGAGCACCTCTGCTGTGGGGAACGGCTGGGAGAGCTGGGCTTGTTCACCTGGAGAAGGCTCTGGGGAGACAGCAGCCTTCCAGGACTTAAAGAGGCCCATAAGAAAGATGGGGAGAGACTTTAGCAGGGCGTGTTGTGGCAGGACAAGGGGTGATGGGGTGAAGCTAAAAGAGGGGGTTTCAGGCTGCATGTGAGGAAGAAATTATGTACAATGAGGTTGGTGAAACACCGGCACAGGGTGCCCAGAGAAGCTGTGGCTGCCCCATCCCTGGCAGTGCTCAAGGCCAGGTTGGACACAGGGGCTCGGAGCACCCTGCTCCAGTGGAAGGGGTCCCTGCCCTGGCAGGGGCTGGAGCTGGAGGAGCTTTAAGGTCCCTCCAGCCCAAAGCTTTCCATGACCCGATGTTGAGCAGGGCTGGGGGCAGGGGCACCAGGAGCATCCTGGAGGCTCTTTGCTGCAGGGGGTCTTTGCCCTCCTGCCTTGCTCACAGTGCTGGAAAGGCTCCAGCAGGACCCTCGGGGGGTGCAGCAGGTCCCGTGCGGAGCACCCAGACCCGGCTGCCTGCAGCGGTGCTGAAGAGCTGCTCTCTGCACCGGGACCAAGCCCAGCACAGCCAAACCGCGGAGCTCGAGGGAGAATGAGGCAGGCTGTGGACACCGGAAGGTCTGAGGCTGGCTGTGGCCGGGTGCAGGCTCTGCAGACCCTGGGGGCTGTGGCTGTAGCACACACTGCTGGAGAGCAGCCTCACTGCCCACAGCCCTGTGCCAGCTGGTCCATGCCCAGTGCTGGGGCTGCAGCCAGACCTGCTGTGAGGGAGCGGGCTGGGTGGAGGAGCAGAGATGGCTCCATGTTCAACCGCAGAGCCCTGGCACCAGGGTGAGAAATGCTGGCGCTGGACTGGCCCTACAGAGCCGCAGCACCAAGTGCTGCAGAGATCCTGAGCCCATGCAGCCAGGCACGGTGCTGCCCACTGGCACCTCTGGACACGGCTGCATGCACACGGCCCGAGCAGGACTGCACAGTGCATGCACTGCGCTCACTCCGGCCTGTCCCGTGTCCCCTGGGCCATGCCAGCAGCTTTTGCTCACAAGGGCTCCTCTGTCTCAGCAGTGCTCCAGGCTGGGTGCCAGGGAATGGTTCCAACAGGCACTGGCTTCATCTATCACAGACCAGTTCTCACTGGAACGGAGCTTAGAGCTCCTCCAGCTCCAACCCCTGCCAGGGCAGGGACCCCTTCCCCTGGAGCAGGGTGCTCCGAGCCCCTGTGTCCAACCTGGCCTTGAGCACTGCCAGGGATGGGGCAGCCACAGCTTCTCTGGGCACCCTGTGCCAGCGCCTCAGCACCCTCACAGGGAAGAGCTTCTGCCTAAGAGCTCAGCTCAGTCTCCCCTCGGGCAGGTTCAAGCCATTCCCCTTGGCCTGTCCCTACAGGCCCTTGTCCCAAGCCCCTCTCCAGGCTCCCTGCAGCCCCTTTAGGCACTGGAGCTGCTCTGAGGTCTCCCCTTCAGGAGCCTTCTCTTCTCCAGGCTGCCCCAGCCCAGCTCTCAGCCTGTCATTAAATCCACCCTCAATCAGTTCACAGCCATTCCCCCTTGTCCCACCCCTACCCACCCTGTCCAAGAGTGATGTCAGTGCTCGGATGTGCCCAGGCAACGCTGTTTGTGTTGGCAGGATCAGGGCTGCAGCTGACGCCGAGGTGTGGATGTGGTGTGGGAAGGGACGAGACGCGGGGGTGCTGCTGCTGCTGCTGCTGCTGCCGCTGCCCCTGCCCCTGGGAAGGGCTTTCCCCAGACAGGCAGGGTGGGGAGCAGGGGAGGAGGGCCAGGACTGTGGGGGCTCTGCCTGGCGTGGGGCTGCTGCAGGGGAGGGCAAGGGGCCTGGTCACAGGCTGGGAGCAGGGTGTTCCTGCGTATCTTACCCCAGGTGCATGCAGGAGTGCGGCAGCCCTGAGCCTGCAGCACACACAAGGGCACGCACCGGGGCTGGCAGACCCTGCCCTGCAGGGAAGATGCTGGGTTAGGTGCCGCAGAAGGTGCTGTTCCCGGGAGGAGCCGGGCCCCAGCCGTGCCATGGGCGCACCCCGCGGCAGCACCGGTGCGGCTGCAGGAACTGGAGATCCCGGGAGACCCCCATGTGCCCCATTCCCGAGCCAGCACCGGCTCCGGAGCGCAGAGGGGCTTTGGGCAGCCCCATTCCCACCGGTGCTCTGGGGGGCAGCAGCAGGACCCCGCAGGCGGGGAGCGCGGTGCCGCGGGCAGCGCGGTGCGGGCAGGGGCAGGGGCAGGGGCAGGGGCAGGGGCAGGGGCAGGGGCAGGGCTCGGGCTCTCCTGCTCTCCCCGTGCCAGCCCCATGGAAAGTTTCCGTCGCCGCCTGCCCGGCTCAGGCTCAGGCTCAGGCTCGGGCTCGGGCTCGGGCTCGGGCTCAGGCTCAGGCTCAGGCTCGGGCTCGGGCTCGGGCTCAGGCTCGGGCTCAGGCTCAGGCTCAGGCTCAGGCTCAGGCTCAGGCTCAGGCTCAGGCTCGGGCTCAGGCTCAGGCTCAGGCTCGGGCTCAGGCTCGGGCTCAGGCTCGGGCTCAGGCTCGGGCTCAGGCTCGGGCTCAGGCTCAGGCTCAGGCTCAGGCTCGGGCTCAGGCTCAGGCTCGGGCTCAGGCTCAGGCTCAGGCTCGGGCTCGGGCTCAGGCTCAGGCTCAGGCTCGGGCTCAGGCTCAGGCTCAGGCTCGGGCTCGGGCTCAGGCTCGGGCTCAGGCTCAGGAGGCTCGGGCTCAGGCTCAGGCTCAGGCCGGGCCGGGCTCAGGCTCAGGCAGTCAGGCTCGGGCTCGGGCTCGGGCTCAGGCTCGGGCTCAGGCTCGGGCTCAGGTCAGGCTCAGGCTCAGGCTCAGGCTCAGGCTCGGGCTCAGGCTCAGGCTCAGGCTCGGGCTCGGGCCGGGCTCAGGCGGCCAGGCTCAGGCTGGCGCTCAGGCTCAGGCTCAGGCTAGGCTCGGGCTCAGGCTCAGGCTCGGGCTCGGGCTCGAGGCTCAGGCTCAGGCTCAGGCTCAGGCTCAGGCTCGGGCTCGGCTAGGCTCAGGCTCAGGCTCAGGCTCAGGCTCGGGCTCAGGCTCGGGCTCAGGCTCAGGCTCGGGCTCAGGCTCGGGCTCAGGCTCGGGCTCGGGCTCGGGCTCAGGCTCGGGCTCAGGCTCGGGCTCAGGCTCAGGCTCGGGCTCAGGCTCAGGCTCAGGCTCAGGCTCAGGCTCAGGCTCAGGCTCAGGCTCGGGCTCGGGCTCAGGCTCGGGCTCAGGCTCAGGCTCAGGCTCAGGCTCAGGCTCAGGCTCGGCCGGGCTCAGGCTCAGGCTCAGGCTCAGGCTCAGGCTCGGGCTCAGGCTCAGGCTCAGGCTCGGGGCTCTGGCTCGGGCTCGGGCTCAGGCTCGGGCTCAGGCTCAGGCTCGGGCTCAGGCTCCGGCTCGGGCTCAGGCTCAGGCTCAGGCTCGGGCTCAGGCTCAGGCTCAGGCTCAGGCTCAGGCTCAGGCTCGGGCTCAGGCTCAGGCTCGGGCTCAGGCTCAGGCTCAGGCTCAGGCTCAGGCTCGGGCTCAGGCTCAGGCTCAGGCTCCCGGGGCCGCTGCTCTCCCTCCGCCTTTGGCTGCCCCGGGAAGGCGCTGGCGGAGCTGCGGCACCAGGAGCGCTGCCCCAGTGCCCGCCCCCCCCCGCCCCTTCACACCCAGCGGGGCCGGTGTGAGTCATCGGCCATAAATCACGGCAGGGTTTGGGCTGGGAGGGACCTCAGAGCTCCTCCAGCTCCAACCCTGCCAGGGCAGGGACCCCTTCCCCTGGAGCAGGGGGCTCCGAGCCCCTGTGTCCAACCTGGCCTTGAGCACTGCCAGGGATGGGGCAGCCACAGCTCCTCTGGGCAGCGTCTCCAAGCGGAGGCTCTTCCTTGTGCTCCCACTGCCACGGGCAGTGCTGCAGCTCTGCTGCAGGGGATAACCCTGCACGTGTGCACCCACAGTGCAGCGCTGGCTGCGGGGGCCGTGGGGAAGGGCTGGGAGAAGGGGCCGGTTTTACCGGTGGGCTGGGGGTCCCGGTCTGAGAACGGGAGTGCTGGAGGAGGCGTGTGTGGGGAAGGGGTGGGATGGGGTGAAGCAGGGGAAGAACAGGAGATGGGGCAGCACCTGGAGGGTGACAGGGATGGAGAGGGCAGATGGGGCACTTCGGGGGTCCCTGCCCTGAGCGGTGCTGCCTGCACGGCTGCCATGGAGGGGTCACAGTGCCTGCATCCCACCAATGGCCTGTTAGTGACGGCTGCTGCGGCTGCGCCGGGGTCAGTCCCACAGCACTGCGCACCCATCTCCCTGGGAAGCATGGAACGGTGCTGCCAGGCCCAGCACGCGCTGCCCAACGCCTGCCCCTTCCCCGTTCGGGGCTCACCCTGGCGCTGCCATCCTCCATCCCAGGCGCACCGCAGCACCGAGCAGTGGTGCCCTATGGCCCCGACACCGCACTGCGGGCGGCGGGCGCAGCCACGCCACGTTCCTCACATACCTGGGACCCGGCTCCGTGTGCTGCGGTGCTGGCGCGGCCGCCGACACCCAGGACCTCTGCTGCCTGCCCGCGGTGGTCGCAGGACGGGATCTCCCGGCCGGTGCCGGTGCCCGCAGCCCCGCTGCTTCCCCGCAGCTTCCTGCCGGGACCGCAGCACGTTTAAACCTCACCCTTCCCCGCCCCTGGGGATGACACAGGAGCCCAGCCCTGCCGGCAGCACACGGGCCCTCCCCGCACTC